TTTTTTGCCTGGTCAGGTTAAACAGCGAGGGGTTATACCTTGAGTGATGGTAATATAAAAGAAAAATAAATAAGCTATAAATAAAAGCTGTAAATATTCTAGTGGTCATGTGAGATTTATGTGGTGAAGCCCAATCATTGACAGTGGCATAATGCATTAGAGGTTGAAGCAACAGAACAAAAGTATGTCTAGGTCTGGTAGGGCTGACCAGCCTGAGGTATGACCATGCTTCCCAACTCCTCACAGGAACATAGTCTTAAGGAAGAAGATATTAGCAAAGTAATTACTAATAGCTAAATCCTACCCAGCATCTGCATACAACCCTTTTCACCCTTAATTTCATCTTCTGAGTACACTATGACTAGAAAAGTAGACATGGAATACAGGACAGGTTAGAAGGAAAGGGTTTCACGTATATGTTAATTTAAAGTGAAACTGTCAAAAAAAATTCCCATAAATCTTTTCATGAATGATTAATGCAAATCAATTAATAACATTTTCATCTAAAAAGGCAATAGTACTGTAACGGACCGTTTTGCACACAAGGGTTAAAAACCGTTTAGGCGATCGTCCCCCTTTCCAGAGATGCAGGCACAGCTATTGTAAAACACCAAACTCACGAACCGCCAATAAGGGAATGCTCCAAACTCCAGAATGGCATCCAATATAACACTCCAAACACACGAACTGGAACCATACGACTCGCTGCTAGCAGACGAATAGGAAAAGCATCCAAGTGGCTTACACTCCTCGCAGTCAGTCTCTATCAGCGTTCAGTAAATCCCCCCCAAAGACGAGACAAGGCTCCGTGTTGGGGGTCAAGCAGTGGTCTGGTTTAATGAGGGCTACCTGCCCAGTATTTTTGCAGGTCTCCCACCTGGTGGACACTCCCCTAGGGGACCAAATGGGAGACTGTGACAAAAGACAGACAATCAGACAAACAGGACACACAGTCACATTTTATTCCCACAATGCATCCTGGCTTCCTCCCCTCTGCCTTGGAGATAATTGAGAAGTAATTCAATTATCTCCCAAGACAGCCAAATCGCCATTATACACGTGGGGATACTAACACAGGAATTACTATTAAAATGCATTATGTGAGACACTTAACATTAAAATCATACATTTAACATGTTCCCAGATAGCTCAGGTCTGAGCGCACATTATTAAGCGAATGTCGCTCAGACCACACGAATACAGTGTAATCGCCATGGAGCCAAAGTCTCTACACAGTCAGTTTCTCATGCGAATGGGCTCCATGGGATTCCTATCTGGGGTATAACACATTCAAGCAAAACTACCGAACACCGGGCCGTTCGTGCACTTTCACCGAACAAGAAGGGAGGTCGGCGGCTTCAGCGGTGTTCACGCAAAACTGTGTCTGATTTCAGTTCCATGAATTAAGCGTCGGACACCGCTATGCGTTCGCATGTTTAAAATGGCCGCGACCTCGTGTTCGTGATACGAAAGGCGGCCACGCAGCATTCATCAATTGAGCTGCGGTTAACCACAGCTTCAGGGAGGCTAATTGCCGGGACACTCCAGCTCCCAGGTGGTCCAGTCATTCGTGCGGTTGTTCGGTAGATTCAATCTACCGAACACCAGGCAGAAAAGAACGAATAAATCTTTTCTGCAGGTAAAAAAGATGTCTTTTAACATGGGGCCATAATCTAAAGGCAACAGGCGGGCAACCAGGCTTCTCCAATGCAATGTGGCGAGATTGCTCTCGTCACAAGTACATTCAACTGCACCTACCCCTTGAGATTTTCCATTTTATATGGTGTAGGTGGACATCTCGAAACCAAATCTCAAACCCTGAATAAAAATATTTGATAAAAAAAAAAAAAAAAAGACTGCAGAGAACATTTTATAACAGCTAATCAGAGTCCATGATTTACAGATAAGACAAAACCAGGAAAGAAGAAGTGATTCTTCTTCTTTGAACTATCTAGCGTGAGTATTGTCAGGAATTTAAAGGGAATTCAAAGTAAATCAAATTTAAGTCCAAAATAACCAAACTGGAAGCATAGCTGATTTGGAAGAGTTTTCCAACTCCGCTATTTTGACATCAAGTTTGAAATTTATTTTGAATTCAAAGAAATGTTCACATTAGTGCTATCTCTGTCCAAAATGATCAGGGATAGTTGGAAATCTGTTGATTGTTTTTATAAGACCCTGCTACACATATTTTAAAATGATCAAAGCGAGATGTACGTAGGTACTTTTAACATGCCTAAACTATTGTAAAAGCCAGAACCATCTTTAGTAACAATATTGATTTGTACAATGAAACAAACAGCATGTTAAATAGACCTTTTTCCAAGTCATGAATTTTCACAGTAGTCAGTTCTATAAACTAATCCTAGATTACGTTAATACTAGCAGGGGATGCATTTAAGATGTTAATCTACAATGAATGTGTAATAATATAGTTGCATGTGCCATAGTGTGCAAGATTTATTTCAAGGACCCTCTCAGGTTTTTATGAGGTCTTTTGAATTGTACATAAAGACTCTGTAGAAAAGTGTCTGAAGGAGGAAATTGTGAAATAAAAAGTACATCACAAGTTAAATTATGGATTTGTTGCTGTGACTTTAGCAGTGACTGCTGGGAATATGGGCATGTCTCTATAAACGTGGGAGTATTTAATGATCCATTTTGCAGATTATGTGCAATTTAAAGGTGTAGTGTCTTTAATTTAAGAAAATTCTCAGTTATATGTATTGTATATAAAATATTTTTTTTAATTTTAGAGGTGTAGATGGATAGATAGATGAATGAATACACTATATACATTTTTAAAAATGATATCTATAACATTTGTTTATGTTATTATATTTATGTGGATTCACTCACCAAGTTAATCAAGAAACAAGTATGCGTGCATTCTGCATCATATAAATGCAGAAAGTGAATAATTAAGTCAATATCTCTGCTCGTTTTTTGGTCAGGCCTGGACCACCAATCAGTAATGCATGTAAGGGGAGACACACAAACTACATAAATAATCTTGCCATTTTACTACTCAATAATAACAATGTTAGCAATTAAAAAGTTCTTTATTAAGTAAGGAAAAATACATTGTTTTCTAATGTTTTTGTGAACGGGTCCCTGTTCATATATCTGGTGCCCTGTTTATGTTATTGCCACGTTCTTATGAAGTTTTATTCAAATATTTATTCTATTCTGATTGATTTCCATGTGAAAGCTATATGAGTTACTGCAACCAAAAACAGTGTTTTAGGAAATGTACCTGCAATCCCACATGAAGGCCAATTTCTCCCTCCAGGTCGATCCTCCTCCTACGATGTTATTCCTCCTCACTGAAGGGAGAGAAACATCCCTGAGCCGAAAAGATCTGACTTCCAATCTTTATTCAATTCCACAAACTGTTAAAGTCATATAATCAGCGAAGGCAAGCTCCTGAAGATATAGTTCCAGTGTTTAACAAGTTCCTTTCACTCCTTAGTTTTGCGTCTTACTTAGCCTCTGCTCAAGCAAGCACTTCCTAGATTTTGGCTTGCAACATGTTTCTCCCCACATCCTTGGGCTTTCTCAAGCATGGTGAAGTATCACAGAATGTAATACTATTATTTAAAAACACCTCACCTAGGCAAAAAAATAATGGAGGTTTACAGATATGATCAAGGCTGCCACAATGTCAATGTACACCATTCTTGGAAGGGTCCTACTGTAGCAATCTAATGTTTGCACTTATGAGATTAATCCACTTATATATATATATAAATATGGAACAAAATACCGGCACTCCAAGGTTTTAAAGCCAAGAAAATCTTCTTTATTCTATCTCCAGTCAACATTTCAGCTTCTCTACGAAGCTTTCATCAGGACATACAAAACACAATATGAACAGTGAATAGCTTTATAGGGAAACAAAGATTGGTGATACTCACTTTTCAGCTGTAATCTATTCAGTCAATTGCCCAGCGTGTTCTGGTCACGTCTGTGCATGCGCAAAGACTTCCGGGATACTCCGGGAAGAGTTGGAGTGCAAGAGCTATCTCTTACTATATATATATATATATATATATATATATATATATATATATATATATATAAAACAAGAGGGGGTTGGCTGCACTCACCTTAACATGCATAAATGGGGTGCTGCTGGGGGCCAAATAATACAATACACAAGATCCAGCGCACTCACCTATCCACTAAACAGCAACTTCAAAGTTGAAAGATTTTATTTGTTTTTTTTAAAAACACCTAATCTAGGCAAAAATAATGGGGGTTTAGTTACATTATATGATCATACATTGCATAAGCCTGCCACAACGTCAATGTACCCCATCTTTGGCAGGTCCTACACTAACAGCCTAATGTCTGCTCTTATGAGATTAACCTACTTGGGGAAAAAATTCCATCTGGGGCTCTCTGCAGTACAAGGCTAAATAGGGCCCTGGGATGAGGCACCTGTGACAGGGAGGGGTGCAAAACCAAGGAGTTGGCTAGACTCCCAAATATATATAAAACAAGAGGGGGTTGGCTGCACTCACCTTAACATGCATAAATGGGGGTGCTGCTGGGGGCCAAATAATACAATGCACAAGATCCAGCGCACTCACCTATCCACTAAACAGCAACTTCAAAGTTGAAAGATTTTATTTGTTTTTTTAAAAACACCTAATCTAGGCAAAAATAATGGGGTTTAGTTACATTATATGATCATACATTGCATAAGCCTGCCACAACGTCAATGTACCCCATCTTTGGCAGGTCCTACACTAAAAGCCTAATGTCTGCTCTTATGAGATTAACCTACTTGGGGAAAAAAATTCCATCTGGGGCTCTCTGCAGTACAAGGCTAAATAGGGCCCTGGGATGAGGCACCTGTGACAGGTAGGGGTGCAAAACCAAGGAGTTGGCTAGACTCCCAAATATATATAAAAAACAAGGGGGGGTTGGCTGCACTCACCTTAACATGCATAAATGGGGGTGCTGCTGGGGGCCAAATAATACAATACACAAGATCCAGCGCACTCACCTATCCACTAAACAGCAACTTCAAAGTTGAAAGATTTCATTTGTTTTTTTTAAAAACACCTAATCTAGGCAAAAAAAATTATTTTTGCCTAGATTAGGTGTTTTTAAAAAAAACAAATGAAATCTTTCAACTTTGAAGTTGCTGTTTAGTGGATAGGTGAGTGCGCTGGATCTTGTGTATTATATATATATATATATATATATATATATATATCTCCAAGAAGGCTGCACTCACCCGAACAGGAATACTTACAAGGGTACAGCTGGGCCAATTTATACTATATATATATATATATATATATATATATATATATATATATTGGGGCTATCAGGGGATATGTAATTTGTGGGAATACCTTGTGTGGAAAGGGGTGTTCTAACTTTTGGGAAAATTGTGTGCACTCTGCCTGGAGATAACTGGGTTATTCCTTAACTTATCTCAATATCTCCCAGTCAGAGAGAGGGCAGGGGTTACTGTAAAGCTGTATGTTGATTGGTTATTGTCTTTCTTTACTGTGGGAGGTCCTCTTGCAGGAGGATTTCTCATAAAAGCCAGTGTGTCATCAATAAACTTCATTCCTGTTACACCCTTCATGAAGTCTAGGCTCATGTTTGGGTAATATTCTATTTGCTGGGGAGAATCATCTTGGAAGCTGCATTCTTCTACACTATTCCTACTACAGTTATAATCACTTATGCTCAGCTATTGGGGAAGGAATAGAAGACCATAACCACTGCAGGTCTTAACAATGTGCAAAAGGAAAAGCCTAACCCCTCCAATTTGCTTAAAGAAAAAAAGATAAAAATGCAAGCTTATGGTATAAAAGCAATTACAACATTGTGTATTAACTAAAATATTAGTTGCAGGAATATGATAACATTTGGTAAATCTCTAGATTGTAAGTTCATTTGAGCATGTTTTTTCTCCCTTTGATTGATCAATTTACTTTATTGGTTTATTTTCATTTTCTTTCTTAATGTTTAAATTGTAAGATTATGTATGATTGTACATATATTGTTTTGTGTTTTGGTAGTTTGCTTTTTCTTTTTTATAGTAAGGGAATAAGAAGGAACAAGTAAAAAATAAAAATAAAATAATATATATATATATATATATATATATATATATATATATATATATATATAAAGAAAGAAATGCTACTGATTTAGCTTCCAGACTTGATCATGGTGAGAAAATTTATCTCAGCAGAACCATTTTTCTGAAAAATAGAAACTTTCAATAAAATATTAGTTTTCGGGACTGAGATTCTATTCCAAAAGAACAAAAAAGACAAGAAATGGGCCAATTAGTGTGTTGCTAAACATATATACATAGTATAGTGCAATGTGTATATTTTGCAGTACATTGATAGGAGCATTTTCCCGCAATTTGGTTTACAGATCAAGTGAGAAAAAGTAAAACAGAGGGAAAAAGATTTATAAAGTATATTATTTTCTCTCTATTGCTCACTTCTCACTTGATCTGTGAATAACATATAGAGACTGTCCACTAGCCCTCAATCATTTTTTTCCCCATCAATAATCTCTTTTTTAGTTGAATCTACAATCATGAAACAAAAAAACAATGAACGGCCATCGTGGATTCTGATTGGCTAGTACATTTGGACTGGGATTACAGAAATCCAATTTATCACCCAATTGACCCAAATTCAGCTTACTTACTGGTCTGAATGATACTAATCTCCTAGCATAGCTACTACCAACTACAATATATCAATTTATTCATCATATATGAAAATATAAACACTTTGTTCCAATTTTGCACTTTTTCATATATGTATGCTCTTGTGTAGCAATCTTTAATATTGTACTTGTACCTATTACCTATTTTGTTTCATTACAGCCTTAAGTTCAATGTTTTATTAATCTGAATTTTATGTGATGGATCAGAAGACAATAGTCTAAGTTGGTGAAGTGAACAAATATACATAAAACTATTTTTTGGAAATAGAAAACAGAGAATTGGCATGTGTGTATGTATTCACCCCCTTTGTTATGAAGCCCATAAAAATCTCTGGTGCAACCAATTACCTTCAAAAGTCACATAATTAGTGAAAGGATGTCCACCTGTGTGCAATCTAAGTGTCACATGATCTGTTATTACATATACACACCTTTTTTTGAAAGGCCCCCAGAGGCAGCAACACCTAAGCACGAGGCACCACTAACCAAACACTGCCATGAATACCAAGGAACTCTCCCAACATGTAAGGGACAATGTTGTTGAGAAGTACAAGTAAGGGTTAGGTTATAAAAAAAAAATATCCAAATCTTTGATGATCCCCAGGAGCACCATCAAATCTATCATAACCAAATGGAAAGAACATGGCACAAGAGCAAACCTGCCAAGAGAGGGTAGCCCACCAAAACTCATGGACCGGGCAAGAAGGGCATTGATCTAAGAGGCAGCACAGAGACCTAAGGTAACCCTGGAGGAACTGCAGAGTTCCATAGCAGAGACTGGAGTATCTGTACATAGGACTACAATAAGCCGTACGCTCCATAGAGTTGGGCTTTATGTGGCCAGAAGAAAGACATTATTTTGAGCAAAAAGAAAAATGGCAGATGTTGAGTTTTTGAAAAGGCATGTAGGAGACTACCAAAATGTATGGAGGAAGGTGCTCTGGTCTGATGAGACTAAAATTGAATTTTTGGCCCTCAAAGAAAACGCTATGTCTGGCGCAAACCCAACACATCACATCACCCAAAGAACACCATCTCCACAGTGAAACATGGTGGTGGCAGCATCTGTTGTGGGGATGTTTTTCAGCAGCAGGAACTGGGAAACTGGTCAGAGTTGAGGGAAAAATGGATGGTGCTAAATACAGGGATATTCCGGAGCAAAACCTGTACCACTCTGTGCGTGACTTGAAACTAGGACCGAGGTTCACCTTCCAGCAGGAGAATGACCCCAAACACACTGCTAAAGCAACACTTGAGTGGTTTAAGAGGAAACATGTAAATGTGTTGGAATGGCCTAGTCAAAGCCCAGACCTCAATCCAATAGAAAATATGTGGTCAGACTTAAAGATTGCTGTTCACAAGCTTAAACCATCCAATTTGAAGGAGCTGGAGCAGTTTTGCAAGGAGGAATGGGCAGAAATCCCAGTGGTAAGATGTGGCAAGCTCATAGAGACTTATCCAAAGTGACTAGGAGCTATGATTGCTGCAAAAGGCGGCTCTACAAAGTATTGACTTTAGGGGGGTGAATAGTCATGCACGTTGACTTTTTCTGTTATATTGTCCTATTTGTTGTTTGCTTCACAATAAAAAGTAAAAAAAAAATCTTCAAAGTTGTGGGCATGTTCTGTAAATTAAATTATGCAAATTATCAAACAATCCATGTTAATTCCAGGTTGTGAGGCAACAAAACACAAAAAATGCCAATGAGGGTGAATACTTCTGTTTTGTTCTGTGCCTTTAAAGTACTCTACTAAATGGAATTGACTCGACAACTCATTTTGGTCTATTTTAGAGAGTTTGATATCAGTAACTAGTGTTTTGATAAAACTCTGCAGGGTAAACTTAAACCTTTGATTATTTTACTGTACACCTACTGGGATATAATAAAGCAGTTAATTTTTTTTTTTTTAGGAAGTTCTATGAATACTGTTTCTCTTTTTTTCTTTATTGAAATGTTAATGTTGCAAAGTTACAAGAATAAAATTTACATGATTGATTTTAAGAATAACAAAAATATATCATTTCTTTAATTTATCATCTTAAATACAAACATTTCTATTGACATTCATACTACTACATACTTCATTCATACTGTCGCGAAGGTGGGGGGTGAGGGGAGGTGGGCTATGTAATAAGGATGCTTTATATCCTATACCCTATTCTTTATTGTTTACTTACCATTATAATAATCTTTTTAAAGATACCCAGCACGATTAGCAAAAGAAGATGTTTGCCATTTGTCTCAAAGTTTTGAAAATAGACTCCCTTGATTGTTCATTAAATAAAACCCTTTCTCCATTGAACATGATTTATTATCAAATTCCAATTTTGATGTTCTTGCTTTTTCCAATTTCTCGCTAATTTTTTATTTTGTTTGCCAACAGAATATGAATCAATAAATAAGAGATTTCTCGCAAGGGAGGTCTAATTGGAAAATAAAGAGATGTGGGGTCAATAGGATCTCTTAACCCCAAATTTTTATTAGAAGTCTTCTGAGGTTTGTTTTTAAAGTATCTAGTCCTGAACATTCCCTCCAAATGTGGAAATGAGACCCTTTAGCATTATTGCATCTCCAACATTGGACAGAATGATCTCTATACATTTTATGTCATTTTGTAGAAACCATTTACCACTTATAAAGTACTTTATAATAGAGCTTGATCAAGTTTACACAATGTATACTTTGCTTAACCCACTTTAAACTGTTTCTAGGATTGAATATCAAGTTCCCATTTTATTCTTTACTAAAAGTTTCAGAAATACAGAGAAATTTGAGTGAGCGAGATATTCTCTTCAAAGGGTTGTGATTATCTAAAAAGTCAGTAGTGTCATTATGTTCTATAATTCGTTTTGTATATAAGTAGTTTTTGACTCTCAAATACATAAACACTTTACTTAAAGCAAAAGAATAGTTAGAATGCAATATCTGAAAGGGAATTAAATTTTCATTATAGTAAATATCCACTATTTGATTGATCCCACATCTCTTCCACTCCCTCAAATCCAGATCTTTTACTTTAATTTCTAATATAACTATGGGGGAGGATAAAGTCAATCCATTAGTTAAATTCAGTTTTTTCCTTATGTTTTTAATCATAGTCAATGTTGCTTCAGTAATTTGATTATTTATAATTTTGCCTAATGGACAATGGTTGTCTATCCAGAAACATTCATAAAGTACATCTGTTTCAAAATCTTGAACTTCATGTCCCTTCCATTAGTTGACATAATTAGTGTTTTTAACCCAAGCTAAAAAAATGTGCTAACATATATGTTTCATGCATATCAAATACTTCTGGGATCCCAGTCCTCCATCTTTCCCTGATTATTTTTTAAGGATTTTCTGAGAGATTCTAGGTTTCTTGTTCGACGATATAAACCTTGAAATGGCAGTTTGAAAAAAACTAAATTGTATTGCTCACTCTTATTGGGATTGTTCTGAGCAAATATATCAGCTTTGGGAGCAA